CACACCCCCCACTCACCACACTTTCTTTTCTCTCTCTTCGTCTTCTTCTCCCTTTCTAAACCCCAACCAGCTCTATCTCTCTAAAAGCCACCAGTCCTCCGCTATTAGAAACACCACCGTCGGCTTCATGTCTCCGCCGTCCACTCTGCCACTAGAACCGCCGTCGCTCTGACTCCTCACCCGCTCTCTTACTATCGTTTATGATAGAGAAAGAAGAGATGGACAAGAGAGAGAGGGAGCGATCTACAATCGCGTTAATCGCCTCTCACCTCCATCACCGCCGTTTATGGCCTCCGTCGCCAAAAGAGAGAAACCTCATCATCAATCGAAAACCTCCTTAATTCAAGCAATCTCCAGCGACGAGATCTGACCACCACTAGAAAAGATCTAGTTGTGGAGTGACCAAATCTAGGCCCGCCATTGCTCTCCTATTCCTTTATCGTCGACGACGTTGAACAACCGTCGTACAAGATAAATACATACATGCATATAAATATACATTATGTATATAAATATATATTTACGTGTATGTGGATATATATATATATATATACATATGTATGTATGTATGTATGTTAGTATTTGTTGTCCAATTATATTTAGACTCATACATATATACGTATATGTATATATATCTTGAGTGTATATATATATATATATGTGAGTGCGTAAGTGCGTGTATGTATGAGATAGATATGGAAAAAAAAAATTGATGTTGATGATGATGATTGCAACATATAAACTAAAAAATTTGACATAGATTTTCAACAGATAGAAAAAAAATTAACAGATAGATAGAATTTAGAAGAAAAAAATTAAACATATAGATATAAAATTGAACAGATAAATAGAATCTATGGAAAATTTTGAACAAATAGATAGAATTTGGGAGAAAAATTGAATAGATAGTCGAAAAATTTGAACAAATATATAAATTTAAACAAATAGATAAAAATTTTGAACAGATAGATATTAATTTGAACAGATAGTCAATAAATAGTCAAATAGATAAAAATAAAATAAAATAAAAAATTAAGAGCAAAATTAGAAGCAAAATTTCTTGTAAGACTTCTCATCAAATTATTTCACAAAACATGAATTTTTCACCAACAAAAATACTCACTAAATCTAATACCTTACACACTCTTTAATTTGAATTTATCATCAATTTTCTCTTAAAATTTTGCTGCCACATTCTTATCGGTGGTTGTGCTCACAGTGTCTGTCAAAGATGAGGTGGGCCTCCGAATTAAAAGCCTGTCTTAGAGCCGATAGCATTGGGCTTTCCTCCGGTCCAATCTCACAAATTAGCCCAGCGCAGTCAGGTAAAGTAGGGGGTGTTACTGTAATTATTCAAACCACAGGGGAGGTCCCTGTATTTGTCAGAAACCTCAGGGGAGGTAAATGTAATTTACCCAATTCAAAATTATGTATCGAAATGCACCATTATTTGTCTACGAATTTTTAGTCATTTTCTGACTATTTAAGTATAAAAAAAAAGGAAAGAAGATTAGATCATTTGGCAATTACTTTTTAGCTGGTAATTGTGATTTTTTTTTTTAAAAAAGATATTTATCTTTGTTTATCAACAACTAAACAAGTAACATTTTTTCCAAGTTTTTTTTTTTTGGTAATATTTTTAAATTTTTGTATTTTATCATTTTAATTTAGAAGCATGCAAAAAATGAAGAATCTAATAAAAATACTATAAAAAATACGAAAAAGAAAAACACACAACTTAACTAAATTTTCTTAATAAAATATATATATATATATATATTTAGTGCCTATTTGGGAACTTTAACTTTGGTTAAAAGCCACATGCTTCAACTTGTCCAAAAAAAGCTATATTGGTTTTTTAACATAAAAGTCATTTAGGAAGGCCCAAAAAAGCTACTTGTGAAATAAAAATTATACCTTTCATGTTGTTTAGGGTTATACAGAGATGAAAATGTAAATTTTATAAATTTGATGGGGATAATTTGGTCATTTTATTGTGATGTGACATCATAAACAAATATTAACCAAAAAAACTAAAAGCAGTTTTTTATCAACTTTTTAAATCACTTTCTAAAAAAAGTCAAAAAAGTTTGGTTAAAATTAAAAGTCAGCTTTTAATCATCTTTTCAAAACACCCCATGGCATTTGCAAAACGTAAATTTATCTATATAAAAAAAGAAAATATAAAATATATTTTCATATATATTTTGTCGTATTCAATACAAATTATATATTTTTCAAGTGTATCTAAATTATGCTTTCATTTGGCATAAGCTAAAATGGAGTTTTTTTGCTAAAATAGTAACAAAAAGACAAAATATAATTTTTAACCCAATAAGACAATACGTCACATTCAAACCATAATCATTTTATTTTTTTTCTCACAAAAGTCAAAAAAACCAAAAAGTCTATCCCAAACGAGATTTTTTAGCTCTAAACTAAAATAGCCAAAAGCCAACCCACATCCCAAACGAACCTTTAAGTGGATCTAATAGCAAAAAAAAAAAAAAAAAAGAGTTAAAATATTATAAAAATTCACTAAGCATACAAATTGAAAAGTCAAAAAACGATTTTTGAAAAGATTAAGCCACCTTTCATGAGGTAATTACCAATTAGTCTCATTAAGTCCTATTGACTTTTTAAATGCACAATAAATTCTACAATACTTATACTTATCAAGTGTTTTTATCTTTTCTCTTTCTCTCTCTCTTCATCGTTTTTTCACGAGTTCATACTACCATTGTCTACCACCGCCATCACTATCTACTTATTACTACCACCATCATTGTCGTTTGCCCATTACTTCCACTATCGTCATCGTCTACCCACTACCACCATTGTCATTATTTGGATGTTGCCACCGTTCGCCAACTATCTACGCCATAGTAGCAAATCTAAACTCTATATCTATACTTTATCATCGTAGATCAACACTTCACCATTATTGATTTACGTAACCACCATACCACCACTGCCTTATTTGTTTTGGATTTAAATTTATTTTTCAGTGATAAATTTATCAATCTCTCTTGCTTTTTGTGTATGTAGAAGAGGATGATAGATTTTTACAAATGAGTTGATCAATAAATTTACAGAGATAAATTTATCAATAAAGACTTATAAGCAAATAAGTTTGTTTAATTGGAGCAGTCCATAAGTGCCTTATTTTTATGGGGAGTTGCGGACCAGTCCTTTAAACTTTATTTAACTCCTCTGAGGTCTTGACTTTAAATAATTTAGCACATCTTCCCATTTTATCCTTAATATTCAGCCCACATGTAGAAATCGTTCAACCGTTCCACATACACACACTCTCTCTCTCAATCGGCCATCGAAAACCATTTCCGACCTTTGACAATTTTTTTTTTTGGCCATTTTCCATTTCAACCATGTTAATACCGCTATGCGAGAAAAAGAGAAGAATAAGGATGAAGAAAATGAAGAAAGAGGATAAGAAGTCCTTACTAGACAATAATTATTCACGTTTGCAAATCAACACAAAAATTCAAAGACAAATCTAGTAAAAAATTTATGATTGACACATTCAATAATAAAATTATCACTATCTGTTTGTTAAATTTTTTTTTAAAAAAAAGAAAATCTCGTATTCATAATCACAAATCAACATAAGATTCAAAGACATACTCAGTGATAAATTTATCACTGATATACACATTCACTGATAAATTTATCATTGAATGTTTGTTAAAAAATTATAAAAATAAAATCTCGTCATCATCGTCACAAATCAACACAAGATTCAAAGACATATTCAGTAATAAATTTAGTAGTGATAAATACATCACTGATAAATTTCTCACTAGTTGTTTGTTAAAAGATTACAAAAAAAAAATATCGTCATCATCGTTACAAATCAACACAAGATTCAAAGAAATATATCAGTGATATATTTATCACTGATTCAATAGATTTAGTTTAATAGAAAGAGGGAGTGAGGAAGACGGAGGTAATAAATATAACATGAACAAAAATTAGTGATAAATTTATCATTGTATCAATATCAAAATTATAGTAGCAGCAGTTTACAACATATTAAACAAATCAGTGATAAATTCATCAGATTAGTTCAACATGTTTTACAAATGTAGGTCTTCACCAACATACTGTAGAAAGAGTCTCGATCTTGTTTGCGACTATGTAAAGTACCAGATTGGCGCCAAAGATGGTAGATCGGTATTGAAAACAACTAGAATTGAAGCCATTGGTGAAGTTCGACGTTGAAGATGGTGGATTGATGATTGAAGAAGAAAAACAATGATGACAGATGAAGAATGGAAGATGGAGGATGGAGGAAGAGTGGCAGTAATAGTAAAGAGGAAGGAAGGGGACAATGTTAGGCGAGTGAGTCAAACGGTTGAGAGATAGTGAAGTACAGATCGGCGACGATAGAGATGGTTGGTGAACAATGGTGGTGGTAGTGGCCGGTGAAGGTAGTGGTGGTGACCAGTGGAGGTGGTGGTGGTGGTTAGTGACGAATGACAATAGTGGTTAATAGTAAATGGCCATGGCCATGACCATAACTATAAATGGCGGTATTTTCTAGAGAGAGAGAGAGATGAGAAAGAAGAAGAGTTTTGAAAAAATGATCAAGAGAGAAGTTAATACAAATTGAAAAAATTAATGAGTAATAAATATTATAAACAATTAAAGATTTAGAAAGTATTTGGGATGATTTAAATACGAACTTTTACCAGTTGGTAGCAGGGGTAAAATCGAAATAAAAAAAATATAACAGGTCTTCCTGATGCATAAGATAGAAACTTAGGACCTAATAGGTAATAGATTCAATTATTGAGACCGACCGGTAAAAATCCCTAATTTTTATCGGTAGGTGTGCTCAGCGTCTCTGTTAAGATAACGTAGGGCCTCCGAATTAAAAGCCCGTCTCAAGGGCCATATTATTGGGCTTTCCTCCGGCCCAACTTTACAAATTAGCCCATCCCAAAATAACCCCTTTTGCCGTTTTAACTAACGAAAAAAATAAAAAAAAAAACACTCACGCAAAAACCCTCGCCATCTTCTCCAGCAGCGGCAGCAGCGGCGACACCATCTTCGCCGCTGCTTTCCGCCGCGTCTCCTCCTCTCTCCACCCTGGAATTCCTCTTCCGGTAAGGTTCCATACACATCACAATCCATATACAATCATATCTATGCATACATAAACACAGACATTGGTGATTAACAGTCGGTGTCAAAGATGTCTGAAGATCATACCATGGAAGTTGAAGAAGAGATCGAACAAGTCAAAAATGGCGGAACGAAGAGCAAAAACAAGGATAGAGATGCTCGAAACAGTCGCACACAGTCAAGACTCGTTAAAAGAATCTTGTTATCTGTGACGAAGCCTTCTTACACGCTCGCAATAGGTTCTGAGAAAGTACGAGTGAAGAATCGAGCTAGATTAAGGCGAATTCTGAGCAAGCTTGTGCGGCGACATAATTGGGAAGAAGCAAGCGGTGTGTTGAGTGTTTTGCTGAAAGGGACTGGTAATGAGAAGTCTCCTCCAAAGAATCGATCAAAGTATTGGGTATGAATCGTATTAAGTTTGAATTTTTGTTAGCATATACGGATGAGAATTCATTCTGTATGGAAAGATTTGAATTTGAGAGGTTATAGGAATATTCGGCACCTTAAACCCTAAACCCTACAATACAAGACAGCCGTTTTTTTTTTTTGTTGACGAATGGTGGTGTTTGTGCATGTGTGTGAAGTAAGCAAAAGTGGGTTGGGAAAAATTGAAAAACTTGACATGACAAATATGGAGATGTAGAGATTAAGAAGAAAATGCCGGCCGAGACAACATTGTGTGGTTGTGTTGTGAATTTTTTCGTGGTGGAGGGATGTTCAATGGCATTCAAAATATGAAGCAAAAGCAAAAATGCTAGTTACATTTAATTATTGCGCTGAAAATTGCATGACCCACACCATACCTTGAATGAGTCTGAGCCACAAAGTGTACTTTTATGTGTCCCAATTTTGTGTATTTAGCATTTCTGGAAGCCACAATAAAGTTTCCTTTAGATTGTAGACTTATGGGTGCTAATTTTATTTTATTTGTGTCATAGCATTTTGGTAAAATTTTATCACAGCATGATTTGTTTGGTTTATTTTCTTCTTAATGTCATTTGTATCTTCATTATGTAAATATAGATGTGAAACTTTTTGCCATATCATGAACAAGATGGCATGGATAGTTTTATGTGATACCTATGCACAAATTTCACAGGTTGCAATGGAGCTCCTCAAGCATAAGCAAAAGGACCATATCAACTCAACCAAGATCCAACATGTTTATGAAATCTGGATGAAAAGGATCGGATCAATGAAAAATCGGCCAATGAAGGTACAATCTAGAAAAGTTTGTTCTACAGCAAAATTACAATTTCCTTTCAATGCCCGTGTTCATTTATTTTGTTGCTATTGCTTTTTTGCTCTTTGTTTTTTTCTCAGTTCTTTCCACCTCTTTATGAAGCATCCTTCATTATTTTGTTTTGAAGTTTGTCTGATTTTGATAGCCTAATGTGATTTGGACTAGAAATAGGTGGTAAATGTTGGTGCTTTCCTATTGAAATAAATAATAAATAAATAAATAGAGACATTAAAATATTTTTTTACAAGAAAGAAAATATCCATGAAATGTTTTTTTGTTTTGCTATTTGTGAAGGAAGTCTATATCTAGTTTTGTACTAAATATTTTGCAATCCAATTAAAATCAAATATCAGTAGTCTTTGGAGTGTGCTACAAGGCACATTTGAATTATTATTATCCACGTATGCAGTAGACAAAAGCCACCTATAGTTAATGATCTTGGACATATAGGAGCATGACTCAGATGTGCTTCTTGTCTTTTTAGATTGAGTATTAGTGCCGTTGTGTCTTTATTTTGTGGAAAGGGATATTACTATGCTATTTTCTTATTGTTTTATGCTTACTAAAAAGGTCCTATTGTTTTACCATTCATTCACTACTTGGAAGGGGATGTTCAAATGCTGATGGTTAGCTATCAGGATTGGTTAAATTGTGTTTTCTCATGCGTTTGTGAAATATCTATATTTTTTGTGACAATATTCTAAAGGTAATGGAAATTTCTCACTTACAAATGAAGTCAAACTCAACACATTCGTGAGCATCATCATCTGGATGCTTTGGTAAAAAATTTTATTTTGCAGTTTAGATGCCTAATTTTTGGTTGAAACTGCAAGGCATTATTCCAAACATTGTCTAAAAGGTTTATGTGTTTTAGGCACTGATTCTCTTGCTAATGTGCATTTTATTCGCGTTGAGTATGTTCTTCAACCTTTCAATTGTTGGCAGGATAGATTCACTGTTCAATTGGAATTCATCCTTTTTTGTCTTAAACAAGGGAATGCTCAGGATGCTCATCAGGCTGCTATAAGGTATGGTTCTAGGTTTCTCATGTGTATTTGTTTGGCTGAACATAGAAATCATTGTTATTTTGTGGTGTTTGGCAAAATAGAAAATGTCCTTCGGCCTATTATCCCTAGAGTAACTTTTAACCCTTGGGCGATGGGCCTTCCACGTGGCACTGTCGGATCCCTAAGGCCTACTTTCGTCTTATGTTTTAGTGAATTAGCTATCAACATGTGTTGGGGGAAATTTTATGCTGACAATATTGTTAATAATATGTTTTGAAAAATAAAATGTAGGACATGAATCCATACGAGCTTGTTTTCTGAACTACTTGGCGACGGATATAAGTTGCTGTAAAATGATTTTTGTTAAAATGTGAAATTCCCTAAAGATCACTAATTTTATGCTATCATCATCTAGGCCTAAAATTCAAGCTGTTAATTTTTAAAGTAACCAAGGTTGGTCTTAATGAAAAAGAAGTATTGCTAATCAATCAAAAAACAAGTGTGTAAAACAATATTCATATTTGTTAATTTTTGTTTAAGTTTCAGTTATCCTTCTATCTTGATTGGTCATTGGCAAGTCCAACAATTGTGAGTACTAATTTTGTGGTCAATGCTGTGCATGGGCATGCAGTAGCCTTGCTTAGGCATGTTGTGAATTTTTAAGGTTTCGTAATTGGCTTAAAATTCTAGTTGAACCACAAAAAATTGGCAGTCTTGCTAATCAAAACTTGCCACATGTGAGAGAATCTTCTATGCAGTTCCTTGCTCTTACATCTTGTCTGATCTGGGTGGTGCTGATCTTCAGTGAATGACTATTAGATTTTGGAAGCTGGCAACTTCTGATATCACATCCAAGCTAGTAAGCTACCTTTTTGAAATAAAGGGTTTACATTGTGGTTTTTGCTAAAGGGTAAATTTGGGTGATACTTACTGGAGATGGTGGGTTGAAACTTGAATCAGGCTCCTATTATTTAACCTTATCTTTTTTTTTTTTTTTTTTTTTTTTGGTATTCATTACTTGTTTTTTCAACTTTAAATACATCTGTGGAAAATGTAATAAGGTTTTTATTGATAAGATGAGTTAGAGCTAGATTGTACGGCTAAGTGTTGACAGATCAGATTTTGTTTCCATCTGGATCTGATTTATAAGTATATATTTGCTTTCCTAGTGTTTCACACCATGCCAATGCTATGCTTGTTATTGGGCAGTGTGCTATTTCTTTGTTAAGTAGTTAGAATAGTAATTTAGCACCTTAACTAATAGGGGGTCTACAGTTTAACCAGGCTATAACAGGGCAGAGTGGAAAAATTAAGAAGTTTCACACTGGCAAAGGGAAGGTAGTTTCCTGCATGCACGCCCGCGCATGCCCCCTACATGTCCTAGAGGGCTTAAATGTTTTGAGTGTCTGAATTTTCCGCCCTCTGTTGATTTCTACTTCGTGTTTATTTGTTATGTTGAGGAGGCATTTTAAAGTCACTGTCCTGGATGTGCACTGCCATTTGGCTTGATGCATTTGTTTTGAAAAAAAAAAAAATCCCCAGTTTTTATGTAGGAAACACTCAACTCTTTTAACAAAAAAGTGACTATGAAGATTAATGATGATGAATCCATCCAGAATCCAGCTAAAAAAAAAAAAAAAAAAAAAAAAAAAAAAAAAATACAAAGAAACAACCACATTCACAGAAAAAAAGAGAAGAAGAAGAAACAAAGAAAAGAAAAAAAGGAAAAAGAAAAATGTAAGGAAGCATGGACACAAATAGAAGTAACCCCCTACAAAAATGCTGTTGAAGAGGTTGAATGACTTCGAAGCTATGATTTCTAGATATGGACACGAGAGTCTGAGTGTAAAAACGGTTACAAGGTATCTGACACAACCCTTAAAAATTAAGATATGGGGACACAACAGTATATATATAGATTTATGTACAATTTTCCTTTTTCTTTATATACTTTGAATTATCCTTCATATAATTTTTGTATAAACTTCGTAATTCTTAATGCCTTTTTTTAGAAGTTTTGCAACTTTTCATCTTATTGTAAGCCAAGGGGCTGAGGGTACATTTGAAAATCATTGTTAACTCAAGCGCAAATATAAGAAGTATAATAGTTGGTGGGTTTAATTTGAAATATCACAAATTCGTGGAAACCTTAGGAATTACAGTGTTTGTGGGCCCTTGCTCAACACATTATTTTGAGCCGTGATTCTGTGAATCACATTATCAGACACCAAAACCTTATTGTTGTTTGCCTATCAAAACATATTGTAACAAGTCACTGCCGTATGTATGCAGTATCAACATGGCTCTCAACCATAGTTTTTGTATGTTCCTTGCATGATAGCTTTTAAGAAACTCTGCAGGGATAAACCTTGGATTTTTTTATGAGCACAATTTAGTAACCAAAAAAAAAAAAAAAATTGGGGGAAATGCTTTAAAAGGGATGAACCCTGGATTTAGCCAAGAAGAAATGGTAAAATACACTTGATTTTAGAACGGATGCTTTTTATGAGAATAAGTGTTTTATGTTCTATATTATTGTTAAAATCCACCTACTCTCCACCTACTTCACCCACTTAAACCTACTCCACTAAACCTAACCCACTACACCACTACCATCTCACCTACTCCACTAAACCTAACCCACTACACCACTACCACCTCCACTTCACCTACTCCTTACCTACTACACACTTACCCTATTCTATATATAGGAATCATGAATCATTGTAATTGATATCAATATAAATCAATCAATAATACAATTCTCTATTTCTCTTTATACATTAAATTTCTACAATTATGTATTATGATTTAATTTTTGTATATGATGTTCTTCAAATTCAAGAAGTTGCTTTGGAAATTTACACCAAACGGCTAGTTTTGCATAAGTTAAGTGATAAACATTATGTTTGAGATGTATATTGGGCAAAGCATTGGCAATACGTTGATCATTCTCCGTTTGCAATAGGTTCCTGTACTTCACAGAATTGTCTAATTTTCCATGTGAATCTTTTTGGATACGAGTGACAAAGTTTTCTTACAGAGCTGCGTATTCAAGATGTATTTGTGGTTTTACCAGTCTGTTCAGCCAATTTATATGTGGAAGACGAGATTAATTTGTTAATTGGGGAAGAGTGAATAACTTTCTTCATAATTATTCAGCTTGTTTGGTTTGAATTTGCAGGATTCACTTTTTAGAAATTGAAATTTTTTGTTTTCTGTGTTTTGTTTGTTTTCACTGAATTTTTTTAATATTCTAAGTAATTTTTTTTTTTTAATTTTTAGATACACCTAACATAAATACACTTAAAAAGTATAATACTTGTGAAAAAAATCTTTAAAAAATTCACTAAATACAAAAAAAAAAAAAAAATATTACTAGAATTCAGTACATTTTTTGTATTCTTGTGTATTTATTGATTTTTTAAAATATTTTTTTACAAATATTTTACTTTTTAAATATATCTAAGTAAGTTACATTTAAAAAAGTAAAAAAATTGCTTAAAATTTTAAAAATATTCACCAAAAACAAAAAAAATACGAAAAACAAAACACTTGGGGTGTGTTTGGTTTGTGTTTGTAGAATAATTTTTGAGACAAAAAGTACGAAAACTTGTTTGGTTTGCTTTTTTTTTTTCAGAAATGGTTTTGAAAATTTGTTTTGGAGAGAAAGTTTTAAAAAAAGTGATTGATTTGATGTGTATGAGAGAGAGTGATTTTGGAAAGTAGGTAACCAAACAAAATTTTGAGATTTTTTTTGAAAAAATTTGTTTGGTTTGATTACTCTTGAAAATTTGTTTCTAGAGAATATTTTCCAAAATGTTTTCTGAAAAACAAACCAAACAAGGCCTCAATTTTCAGAAAATTGAATTCAGAAAATTGAAACCAAACACATTGATTATTGTTATTATTATTTTCAAGGTTTACCTTTTTCAAGGATGAATGCTTTTTACAGTCTGAATAGAAGTTAATAATGTGTTTCCTAATATACATGAGATGTCAGTTTATGAAGGGCTTTGTCTTAATTAATTGTGGGTGTTTCTCTCAGTCTCATGCAACAATGCGAATTTGGAAGTGACCCAATTTCAAATATGGTTGTGGGCGTAACCTTTTGTCATCTGTGGTTGTCTGCAATTCCAAAAGAGTTGCAGTTGAGAGATTCAGATGAGTCTTACACCCCTGTGCAATCAGAGATGTCAGGAATGAGATTCAACGACTCAGTTGAGAACTCTGAGGGACATGATGAAGTTGATATCCAGCAAGCTGAAACCTCTTTTCAAGCTGATTCCTCTTTTCAAGCCAATTCAGACACATCTGTTGGGAATGACAAAGATGTTGCTCGAAAAGTTGATGTTGAACAACATAGAGAAGTTTCTATGGAATTGGATGATAACCTACAGAGAGAAACTACTTACGGAAATTACCAGTCACAGGGCTTCTACATGAATTCTGCTGATGATAGTGGACATGAAAAGTCTTTCTCTAGTCATGGTGATGATATGCAGTTTGCATCTACTTTCAATGCCCATGGTGAGTTTCAGAGTTTATTTGCTTATCAGTGTAATCTTTGTTATAGTGGGTAGGAATTTCTTATCAATACAATTTTAAGAAAGGGATCATAGAAAACTAGCTATGAATATGTGATGTGCTCCCTGTTCATTATTTATGCCATCACTGTGAATATTTTGGTGGAGTGAGCTGGCAATACTTGATAATGCAGTTCCGTCAGTTGATTAATTTCTCAATTTGTCTTCAGCTGGTGTTCTGTTGAATTGAATATGAGACTAGGCATATGGGACCTTAGTGATTTGTTTGTAGTATTGAAGTTTATAGTTTCTCTGATCAATTACTGTTACAGGACCCTTCAAGCATGTTCGTGCTTCAGCTTTCATCAAATTCAATTATCTGTTTAGTGTTTCTGCAATTTTTCTGAATCTTTTTGTATGATGCCATTGGGCATACTGATTCTTTCAGTAATTTCTGGCCAACAGTGAGATTATTTGTTTATAGTCTCAGACTCTCAATCATATTTTGGAGTCTGTAATTGACAAATGAATCTTATTGCTTTTGAAGTGATCTTGAAATGTAAACAACAAATATAAAGGATAGATGGATGCTTTCCTGACTTAGCTACTTACGGCCGTTGTTATTTGTAAAACATGTGTCACATGCTCACTGTCTTCCATGATATCTCTATAGCTGGTATGGCCAATTGTTTAAATCCATTTTAAACTAGGGAAGCATTCGTGGACTCTCGTTTGATTTATTCTGCCTCTATGAGAAGAAAAAACTTCCCTAGAAACTACAATGCCAGACTAGAGGGAGTATTCAACAAGTTTCTTCTATTTTTAGTGCCAAAATTTTTGGTTGAAGGTAAAATTTTGGCATTTGTAATTTGAACTTCAAATTTAAGATGTTCCAACATATGCCATCTAATGTAAACCATACTTACTCATTACAGGTATTATCAACCTTTAATTTGAAGGGATGAAGATACTTATTGTATCATGTAGAGGAAACATGACTCAGTACGTGATTTAGCGAATATTGTTTTTCATATATAATTTATATCTTTCAAGTTGTTGAAATATGGATGATGAAATGCTCCATGCACCATGCAGTTTGACAACTATGTTCTTGCTATGTGTTTTATCGTGAAACTTTATGTCTTTAAGATCTTGTTTGGATGCAGCTTCAACGCTAAAAGCTAGAAAAGGAGTTGCATTCAAATTGGGCCTAAATAATTTTGCTTGTTATGGGGAAAAAATGCCGGGCTTGAATAATTTTATTTGTTCTGGGGAAAAAAAAAGCTTGGATCAATTTTCAAGTAACATAAGATGATTGTTCGATTCATCTGAAGCACGTAACAAAGTTACATGCACTAGATTACCAGAATAGACTCTAGTTAATGAGCTGTTTGGATATGACTTGGTTCATCACTTTGGATCTGACCATGGATTCTTCAATTAGGGACCTGTAATTTTGGGTTCTTGGAATTGGATTTATCTTTATTAAGCAGTTAAAACTTTTTTAATTAATGTAACTAATGAAAACGGAAAAGAGGTTGGTCTAGGACAAGAGAAAACTACAATAGATTTTCTTGACCTACTCCAGTTTTGTAGGAATTATGACGAACCTTAAGTCTAACCAACAGTCTTGACATATAGGTCTTAATTATTGTGATGTTGCTGTTGCTGAGGCTTAGTTTATGGCGATTCCATAGGGAAGTTGTAGTGTTGGAGGATGTGAATGGGGTGATGGTGGCGATAGGAGCTAATTGTTCTTGTTAAACAGATCAGGCACTTTCTTAAACTATTTGAGGCTCCAATTTGGCATTGAATGATAGTTATAGCAACAAATTACTATCTCTGTTTTGTTGAATTTTGTCAGGCATTTTTGAGCTTTGGAAAGTTCTCCTTAGATTTTATATACTTGGTTCAAGAGCATTTATAATGAATACTGAATTATTCCATTCTTTCTGGTGAAGGCTTGGATTCATGGTTGTTGCCATTACAATCGTCACATTCAAATAAAAATTTGGAGGACTTCATCTATTCGAATAGGGAAATGCTAAATGACTACTATAAGGGAGCGGTCAAGCATTTGCGGCTTGCTCTTTACTCAACACCTCCAGTATATGAGGCCTTACTTCCTTTGGTACAGGTAAGGGCGATTTTCATTCATTCATTTGATGCCAATTGTTATCAAAATTTTTGAATCAGCACACACCCTTCTTTCTTTTATATTTCAAGAATACATTGACTTGTTAAAAGCCAGAGAGGGAGGTGTTGTGAAACCTGGACATTTGCTTCAATGCAAGTGTTCTAGTGTTCCTTGGGTGAGATCAAACTGTACCATCATTACTATCCCTCATGTTGTCAGCTTCACCACCACCTCCTTTTTACTTTAGTAACAAAAGGAGGTTTTGTTTGATGTCACTCAATTTATTCTTCTTTGTCATTGTCATCAATTCAACTTTTATATGGTAATCATTATACAGATGGTTATGGAGCAAGTGTGACAGCCCTCATCATTTCAGTTGCAATATTTTTTTGCAGATGCTGCTGCTTGGGAATCACATTGATGAGGCTATAAATGAGCTTGAGAAGTTTGGTCATAATTCAGAGGCAGCACTCCCTTTGAGGTAATGGTTCCTTTGCTATTTGGATCAGAAAACTAAAACAATGTAAAATATATCTAGGAGATGGATAGAAAATGTAGAAATTTAATGTATAAAGAGAAATAGAGAATTGTATTATTGATTGATATTTTGATATATTACAATGATTCCTATATATAGAAGAGAGGATGTGGGAAGAGAATAGGTGTGTAGTAAGTGGTAGTGGTAGGTGTGTAGTAGGTGAATGGTAGTGGTAGGTGTGTAGTAGGTGAATTTTAACAGCCCCCCGCAAACTCAAGGGGGATAGGAACTAACCAACTTGAGTTTGGAGAGAGTAACAAAACAAGAAAATAGACGAATACATAAAAGAAAAGAGGATAAGAGACACTGTATGGTCGTGTCAGACCATTGGTGAAGACACTGGATGGTGGTGTCATAACGTTGTAGAGGACACTAGATGGTTGTGTCAGACCGATGTAGAAGAACAGTTTATGGGGTCATGTCGGACCGTTGTAGCAGACAATGTTGTAACAGTTGTTGTGACAGTTTACGGAGTCTTGCTGGACCCTTGTAGAAACTAACCGGAATCAATGTCGGGACAGTTTACAGAGTCTTGTCGGACCCATGAAGGAGCTAACCGGAATCAATGTCGGGACAGTTTACAGAGTCTTGTTGGCCCCCTGTAGAAACTAACCGGAATCAATGTCGGGACAGTTTACAGAGTCTTGTCGGACCCTTAAAAGTCGCACCTCAAAAGGTGTGCCTAATCTTTCAAAAGGCGTGCCATCAAAAGGCGTGCCCAATCCATAAAAGGCGTGCCATCAAAAGGCGAGCCCAAGTCATAAAAAGATGTGCCGGACATGATGGCGAGGCGCGTCACCACATTGGCTTGCGCGCGCCGTTTTGTTGTCTGGCATCATGTGGCGCGCGATGCGCGGATCGGCCCGGGCTATTTAAACCAAGGTTGAGGCGGAGGCTGTGCAAACCAGTCTGAAACCGCTGAACATTTTCATTCTGAAATATCTGAAATATTGCATTCTGAAACATCTGAACAATGGCCTCTTCTTCCCGTTCAGCTACCTAGAATATGGCCTCTTCGTCCCGTGTCTGCTCACTCTCTTTCCCGACCTCAACGAGTCAACAAGAGAGATAACTGGTGCGGTGGCCAGTGAACCGCAACCAAGCGCCGCTGGTTTTGCTCCGTTGAACTTTCCGATGCGGTCGGTGGAGCAAAAAATGGCGGTGCAAACTGATTGAGGCCAATCAGTATATTTGAAGTCATGTGTGGAGACCATGACGGCGGTCACAAACCTGTCGCACCGGCTGCAGAGTAGGACAAATGAGGTGCAGCAGTTAAACGCCCAACTGGCTCTGCTCCAACGCATGTATAAGGATGCGCGAGCAGAGATAAGTGTGCTAAAGGCGGGAAAACAAGGAGCTGAAGCGGAAGGCCACCGTGATGTTCCGATTTGGAGGTCCGCCATACACTGCAGTGGAGGAGTATGGGGGAGTGAACGTGCTTGGTGGAGTGGGAAACACGGAGGCAACACCGTCAAGGGCCGCCCAGGACGGAGGCAAGAAGAAGAGACCGGCGGCATAGTAGAGAAGAAAAATCCCGCCTGTGGGTGTGGTTGTTTGTGTATTTGTTTTTTTTTTTTTTTTGTATGGTGGAACATGGTGATCGGGGTGAGACCCAACATGAATAAAATGAGTTTGGTGTGCAGTTTTTGGTGTTGTTGTGTTGTAGAATAATAAAAATAAAATAAAAAAAATAGATAAAAGACAATATTTTTGGAAGGGTGATTTGAGAAAGATCGGTGTGAGGGTTTTTTTTTTTTTGTTTTTTTTGTTTTGAAAATAATAATAATAATAATAATAATAATAAATAAAATGAAGTGGTGGAAGCCAGTGGAATTCATGAAGGCTAGTATAATATTTTGTAGTGGGGAAAAAAATGATGGATATGTTGAGTAGATAATAAGATAAAAGTGGGTTTAAAGAAAGTGAGGGATGTGGGCGGTGGATGAACAAACAAATAAATAAATAAAGGAATGAAAAGAAAGAAATAAATAAAGAAAGAAAGAGAGAAATAAATAAAGAAAGAAAGAAATAAATAAATAAAGCAAGTGTTGTGTGTGTTGCCCTTTTTCCCTCTGCTGCTGCAGTGTGTTGATATGTTTTTATTTTATTTTATTTTGTTCACCGCCTCTGCTGCAAAGCATCTAATAGCCCACTGTTCCGAGGTGAAAGACAAGCTGACTGGAGAGTCTCAGATGGTGGAGACTGAATAAAAGCATCCACTGACTCAAGCAAAGCTGGAGGAGAAGATGACCCCAGCTACTGAAATCAGTTTTTGGATATTGGAGTGAATGGAGGGAGAGATATAACCGGTCATGAAACCGTTGCGGTGGGCTTTCTCGTAGATGGGGTCTTCGGACTCGCCGCGGAGGTTGATGTCGGCGACTCGGCGTGAGCTGGGAATGAATCCTGATTCACCTGTAGCTGCGCCAGCCTCAAGTCTTTTAGATAACAAGTTTATTATAATCTCATCTGAAACCAATTTCCCTTGGTTTACAATCTCTGCAAGCTGATGAGAGAGAGGGCCATTGGAGGAGAGCTCTTCGCGGACGAGATCGCCGGTGGCGATGTGAGGGACGGCGAGGAGGGAAGAGAGGCGGCTAGCGTAATTGCCTTTTCTGACGCCAGGGCAGCCCAGGAAAACCCACTGGACATTCCTGAGCTTGGGATCTGAGCGAGGAGGGAGAGAACCGAGAGGGTAGGATGGGGATTTCGCTGTCTCAGACACAGCAGCTGTGGATATACACCTCTTCAAGCAATTGATGGCTGAGGATGACAAAGGTGAAGCCTTCAACAACAGGCGCTTCATGGCCGCCATTCATGTACTGACCTCGCGTAGCGATGGAGAGAGGTGAAGGCCTTTCGATGGGGGAGTCAAGGACAGCGACTCGAAGGAGTTGGGCGTGAAGGTGGTGGACTCGAAGAAATTTCAAGGTATGTGTAGAAAATTCTAGCGGACTAGGTTGAGGTCCGGCGGGCAGCCAAGGCGAAGTTGCCGCCCGCCGGTGAAGCAAAAATATTAGGTTCTAAACTTGCTCTGATACCATGTAGAAATTTAATGTATAAAGAGAAATAGAGAATTGTATTATTGATTGATATTTTGATATATTACAATGATTCCTATATATAGAAGAGAGGATGTGGGAAGAGAATAGGTGAGTGTGTAGTAGGTGGTAGTGGTAGGTGTGTAGTAGGTGAATGGTAGTGGTAGGTGTGTAGTAGGTGAATTTTAACAGAAAACATTAATTACTGGAGCAAGTAAGAAAGCAAAGTGGAAACAAATTCCCTGCTTGAGGAGCTAAAATATCAGTTGGGTCATGGTAGCTGTGAGAGAACCAGTGGTGTTGATGATGTTGGAGTTAGGTTTACCAACTATGGTGTGGATGCTGGAGTTAGTAGCTGTGGCCCAGGTGTTACTAGAGTGGTAGTATGATGATGCCACATGGAAGTGGTGGGGCCAAAAGAGTTAATTCATTGTAGTGCAGTTGGAAATCTAACTGATGCTCTTCTTCACTTACTTTCCTTTGTGTCATGGAGATTTCACTTAAGAAAATGAGGAAAGTTTGATTTCCACATTTTCCTTGTATTTTCTTATGTTTACGGAGTTGTCTCTGATACCCAAATGAACTCTAGATTCCAGGTTGCCGAAGCATCTATATCTGGCCACCTGGTTCTTATGGGTCTTATTTCTGTAAAGCACAATCGTAACACATTTATTTATTTATTTATTCTCAATATTTATTATTTCTTTTTAATTGGTGTAGAGCAAAAGCAAGTCTTTTGGACCATTTTGATAGTGCCAACAATGTCAAGCTTTCAACCTGCTTTGAGGATATCTTGAAGAAGGATCCAACATGTAGCCACTCATTGGCGAAGCTCATGAACATGCATCAAAAGGGTACATTATCATTTTGAAACAAATATGCATGCATATTCGCGTCTTATATGTTTAATTGATATATATATATATATATTTTCATGGCAAATGAGAAAATTTGGGTTATTTGGGTTGGGTTTGGATTAGAAGCTGGGTTCGGGTAATCAAGGTTAAAATATTGACAAATTTTTTATGTTGGTGTCATCAAAATTCATTAGTTGACCTAACAGGGGATTAATGAAGGGGAAAATTGTAATTTGATTTGGAACCTCAGGGGGTGCATTATAATTTCTCAAAAGTCAAGGGTGAATCTGTAGTTAAAGCAAATCTCAAGGGATATGAATGTAATTTGCCCTAAATTTTGTAAGTGAACAACTCATAAGATATGGACATCTTGTTTGAACCTATAAATGAGATATACATGCATCCAATAAAACTATTATCACCTTTGATAGTGATTCGATTGATATCGCCTCATCTCCCGTATTTTTTATTATTGGCTGCCTAATTGGGTGTATTCTTTTTTTTTTTTTTTTTTTTTTTCGTCATTGAGTCTTTGGTTTGCCCCTATATTTTTTTATGTTGATGAGACATTCATGTATTGGCCTAGGCATTTCTTATATTAATGTAAATAGATGATATGTTATGTATTATTATTCTAGTACAAAATTCTATGAAAAATTGTTAATTAGTTACGCATTAGAATTATTTGTTTTCTGCTATGGAAAATTATTAGAGGCTTGATCGCACGCGGTGGAATCTGACTTCAATTTTTTTCTTCCCCTTTTCCATATTTGCAGGAGATTATAGCCCTCAACAATTGTTAGAAATGATAGCTTTGCATTTAGATGCTACCCATGCAGAAAGCAATATATGGAAAGAGTTTGCCTCTTGTTTTTTGAAGATTTATGGATGTGAAGAAGATCGAATGTCAGTGTGTCTGAATGGAAATGAAGGTGTGAACAACCTCGGCTATTCTATTTGTTTCAACCGGATTCCCAAAATTTTTACAGATGGAATATCGGGAAAGGCTTGGAAATTTCGTTGCAAATGGTGGCTAACACGCCATTTCAGCCACAGCATTCTTAGGTCCGAAATGGCAGCAGGTACTCTTATCATGAAATTAATGCATTTTTTTAGGTGTCTCGGATGATTGCGAACAGATATATTGATTTTCTTTTTTCACTGTTAATGATCGATCACAGGTGACTTGGAACTCCTAACTTACAAAGCAGCCTCTGCATCTCGTATCTATGGACAGGAGTTTGGTTATGTTGTAAATGCTTGCACATGCTTGGAGGAGAACGATAGGCACTTATTCTTATTCTTGCGAATGCATATGCAGAATTCTATTGGATTCTATTCAAATTTTGACAAACCATAATCAATTTATTTTTTATTTTTGCAAATGAGAAGAAAGTTCAGGTTTTTATTTATTTTTTATTTTTGCGTCATTAGGTTGTGTATGGATCTTGGATTGTGGAGGGATTGGAGAGAAAAGAAAGGGCAGCAATGGTAGAGGGCCCAAATTTTGTGGCTCAAATGTGGCTCAAATGGCCAAAACGACGTGGTTTTGAGTACAAAACAACATCAAAATGGCCAAAACGACGTCGTTTTGGCCATTTGAGCCATATTTGAGCTACAGAATTAGGGCTCCCAAACATTTTTCAAGAAAGGGTGTGTCTGATTAATGATGTTTTGTAATTTGCTGACATTATTCTTATTCTTTAAAGCATGAAAATAAAACTAATATAATATTTAAAATAAAATAAAATAATAATTACTCCCGGAAATGTTCTTGTGTTTATGTGATTTTTATGACTTAAGCCTAAAATGATAGGTACATATAAAAACATATCACGTCACGGGTGTGCTTTTAAATATAATAAAACAGACAAATAGGAATTTAATTATGTTTGAATCATGAATTTATGTAAATTATCAAAGTAAAGCTCATAAATGAATCGACGAGCGTAATTCACTCTAAAGATTGGAAAGAAGGCTGGCCATTAATCATTAATGACTTTAAAACCCACAATTAAAAGAACAGTAAAGTTATTGGCCTTTCAAAATAATCTTGAAAAAAATGTGGAAAATCTATGACTACTTTAGACATATCCTATCAAGCCTTTTTTAAGGTTCGAAAAATATATGACACATCGGAATTAATGCAGATACATAAAAATAAACAATACTTCATAAAAAAAATATATAAAAAAGATATGATAATATTATTATTAACAAATTATTTATTAAAAGAAAACTAAGATCTTATAAAAATTTAATATAATTATATTGAACTCATGAGATTATTATGTATCATAAGGCAGTGAGATTATATGTTTATTTCTGAAACTATTGAGTCAATAAAGGTAAATTTTAAATTTTTAAATCAAAATGTCATGTTATCTGTTCAAAAACTTAACTACTTATTTAGAAACTTAACCATTTATTCTATATATTTAAATGTCATCTATTTATTCAAATGCACATGTACATGTGGCTATCGAACTATCTATTTAAATATGTTCACATGTTATTTATTTATGCAATTATTTATTCAAATATTTCATTATCTTTACACATTTTATATATTTATTTACTTATCTGTTCAATTTCACTGTCCTACTTGTTTGTGAGCGGCTTTCTAAACAAAGTTTTTTTCAAATCTTTTTGCGCCGAATTTTTAACACGTGTCAGGCACTATCAACTTGTGTTTACCTACAAGTTTTTTATATTATATACCGTAATTGGGTTATTTTTAAAATTATTTTGGGCAAATTACATATACCTCCCTCGAGATTTATCTAAATTACAGATATTCTCTTTGAGATTTCAGAAATTACAAATATCTCTCTGAGGTTTATATTTTCATAACAATTTGTTCCCTAATTTATTATGCAAATATAACTTTTAGAGGGGTATCTATAATTTCTTAAATTTCAAGAAAATATCTGTAATTTTATTAAATTTCAAAAGATATATGTAATTTGCCCAAATATTTTTGTAAGTAATTTGGTGGATGAAAAAGAAAGTGGAAGACAAATCAACAAATATCGACCAAAACACCATCCAACCCAAAAAAGTCCAAAAAGCTAGCTAGGGTTAGATACTGTGAACCCTTTTTAACTGATGATGATGATGATGATGATGATGATTTAAATCTTGTTACAAAAAATTAAGAACTTGATGAGAAAAGAAGACACTCTCATGTGTGTATGAGAGATACAGAGAGAAGATCTGTTTCTGTTTCATTGCCCACCCAAAAACCAAACCCTATTCTTTTGTCTCTCTCTCCTCTTCTTTCTCTCTCTAGAATCGACCCATATGCATACATATATCACGATTTTCGAATTTGATCGGTGAAAACGAACGATTTCGAGAGAGAGACACAGATGGCGGCGTACAGAGCCGACGATGACTACGATTACTTGTTCAAGGTGGTTCTGATCGGGGACTCTGGTGTGGGAAAATCGAATCTCCTCTCTAGGTTCACAAGAAACGAGTTCAGCCTCGAATCCAAATCTACAATCGGTGTTGAATTCGCTACTCGGAGTATTCGCGTCGATGACAAGATCGTCAAGGCCCAGATTTGGGACACAGCTGGTCAAGAGAGGTTTGTTTTTTACCCCCAATTCTCACTTTTTTTTTTTTCATTATGGTATATTGGGTTTCTGTTTGGTTGCTCGGAAAATGTGTGATTTGTCATGGGTTAAGTTTCAATTTTTTATTGGCTTTAGTGATGCTAGGGTTTTATTTATAGCTTTGTGCGTCTAGATTCTAAATGAGAATTAGGTTTGCTTTTAGGGTTTATGCATACAAAAGTAGGACAGAAAGAAGAGAGGGTGGGAATGCCCTGCACCAGTTGTAGTATGTTTTTCCGGAACCAATTAGACAGGCATTTAATGAATGGCAAATTGCCTATAGTTATCTTCCAGTATATAAGGATATATCAATGTCCAAACCTACAATCCATTTTGTTATTCGCTTTAGAATTCTATGGATTTGGAAGTGGGATTTCCAGTGCGATTACCAGAACAAGGATCCCGTTTAAAAAGAGTTTTCTTTACCAAATGGTGGACTAAGATACTTGACACCCCTAAACAACAGCAAGAGATATTACAGAAAATTCAAGCTCACACCAAGGCCTGTTGGGAGTTTGTTCCAAAATTACTTCCCGCTACTCCAATAATTAAAAATTCTTTTGTCCAGATTTAAACTGAATTAAGACAAAAATATCAACGATTATCCGAACATGAATTAATTGTGAAAAGTATGGATTTTATAAAAGAACAATTCCTGCAATCCCTTTCCAGAGATGATATCAGCATGCAGTCAGGCACTAGCAGCCAAGGTCCAGAAGATAATTTAGATACAGAGCTAGATGAAAATGAATTCGCAGTCTTAGCTAGCGAATTCTAAGACCCTACCAACAATAAACCCAACATAGGAGATTTTTGGGACTCATTGACCAGTCTCATTTCAGAAAAGATCAGTCAGGATAAAGACAGGAAAGGAAAAGGAAAAGAGGAATGACTTTTTGTCCTCCACTCCATCCACTTTACAGCAGTGTTGGCAGAAAACGACAAACTCACTTTCGGCCGAAGAAGATGCTTTGTCGGCCATCCAGCCTCAATCATACAGCTGTCCATACAGCTGTCCATTGTAGGACAATAAAGATAAGGTGCTGAGTCATCCACAATCAGCAGAGGATCAGGACGATCGACTCCATTCACCTAGGACATGCCACTTGTCCTCCTTATCCTTATCTTATCTTTTTATATTATCTATAAAAGGGAGGCTTCACCGTTGTTGAAGGCACAAGCTAATTTTCTTAAGTTTTTTAGTTTTCATATCAGTGCGCTCTCTCTCCAAAGGTGGTTTTATAGTTACTGGAACTAAGGTTTCAGATTTTGGTTGGATAGTATAGCTATCTTTGATTTGCATAACAGCTTCTTCTAATCTAATTAATTGTTTTCTAGCTGTTTGTCAAAAAAGATTTGTATAATTATTCTGTTTGATTAAGGGTATAATATCTTTAATATTTGTTCCCTTATTCCTATGCGTTCTGGAGTTTCAACAAAAGTTGTAACAACTAGTGGTTTATTTGAACTTATAATTCCACTAGGTTTAAGTTCCAGAGATTGGGGAGGTGGATGGACAGAAGTAATACTTTGACCATCTGTTGTTACACAAGTTTTCTGAATATTCTCAAGAACATTAAGTTGTGCTTCTGGAACAGTAATATTTTCCTTATACCATAAAGGAAAAGATTGAAGTTTCTGGTGTTGCTCGAGGTGTGTATAATACTGAAGTTTAAGCTGTTTTAGCTGTGATTTGTTATGGTTTGTAAAACACCATTTTCTAAATTCTCTGTATTTATCCTGTAAAAAATCTTGATTTAGGATTTTACGATTCTCACTTCCTGGTGTAAAATCCATTTAGATTTCAAAATTCATGTCGCTTGCTGTAGGGCTATATGGCCTTCTGGATTCATAAACACCATGTGGTATTTGGTTTTCTGAAAATTGAATTCCCTGAACTACTGGATCTGTAGTATTGTCAGGGTTGGTGTCACTAGGAGGTCTGGAAGGCATTCGTTGTAACACTGACTCTACGGGTTCAGAGGTAGACTGTCTGGAGGACTCAGGTAGATCTATTCTGCAAGATGGAGCAGTTCTATAACTGGTACTAGACATACTTCTGGACAATGGTCTATGTGGCCTATTGAAGGTAAGGTAGACATTTCCACCTTATGTCTGAATGACATCATCCAGTGATTGACGGATGATGGGTCTGGCTGGAACAGCATTAGGAATATGCCATCTTTCTGGAAAGGTAATGTTTTGTTAAGGTATCATTTTTGGCACAGCAACTTGACTACTGAAAAGATTAGTATCAATTAAGACTCTGTGTCCTAATTCACTCTGTTTCTGAATGTAAGGATTTAAAGTGGTTAAAACCTTTAAATAAATTCTGAAAATTACTGTAAAAGGTGGTGATCCTGGAAGATAAGTTTATCCATGGGATAGCACTTAGTTCTAAGGCTTTAAACAAATTAGCATCGGTAAGTGCTATGCTTAGGTTTGGATATATATTAAAGTATACGGGACCATGGGAGAGGTTGGTTTCAATAGCTTCCATAAGAGATGCCTCCAATCTAGGCATCTTCCATTTTGGAGGGTACACTGGATACTGGTATTTGCCCAAGAAGGGTCAAAGGTTTGAAAGCTATCTGGACAAGTCCTATATGGACATACTTGTTTTTTTGTAAGAATGGGTATAAATCCTGTATGTGTAAGAGATACATAATCTCATCCTCATTCTGTATAGAAGCTGCATGTTCAAATGTTTTGATTATTTTTTTGCTGGAAAAGTCAAAGGTGCCTATCTTATAGGTAGTATCAGGTTTGACTTTAGGGATAGTCTATTTATCTAGGGCTTCCTTTACATCCTGGTATGCTACTAGCTCTCTAGCTTCTGATGTGGAAGCTACTGTATTGGCTACTGTATTGGATACTGTATTGGCTACTTCTTCTGAAGGTACAGTACTCATATGGTTGTATTGGGACCATATATGTATAATTTAAAAGAAATATAAAATAATATGAACAACAATAAACATGGCTCTGATACCAATTGAGGTGCTTGACACAGGGTAAAGCTAAGGACGTCTGTCAACGACTTACGAGGACACAACCTAACCGCAATCACTGCTAACGGTTTACCTTTACGCGACTTGGGTGACGTCCCACTTAACCTAACACTGTTCTACCCTCGATTAAGCACAAACACAAGAATATTACTGTTCATATTATTATTATATTAAATCTAAATTATGCCATATATGGTCTCATGAATTTACTGTAAAGAGGGTGGTGGCCGATTGGCTGCAGCCAACAAGCAGATCTGCTCCTGTAGATCCCTTTCTGTACTTTCTATCAATGTAAAATTCTGTAAATGTATTAGTCTTACCGTCTGTAAACGGCGATTGTCAACTGCTAACCAATAATTATAATGAGATTTATAAAAATCTAATAAAGCATTTAATTCAACAAGTTTGTCAACGGGCATGCATACATGTAAATGGAAAGAAAAAGAATACTTACAATCAGAACTTCAGAATTTATTATATGTTATGGAAGGCGTACAAAGAGAGCACTTGAGAGGGAGAGAGAGCGCATTGATATGAAAACTAAAAAACTTATGAAAATTAGCTTCTGCTTTCAACAAGAGTGAGACCTTCCTTTTATAGATAATATAAAAAGATAAGATAAGGATAAGGAGGACAGGTGGCGTGTCCTAGGTAGATGGAGTTGATCGTCCTGATCATCTGCTGATTGTGGATGACTCAGCACCTTATCTTTATTGTCCTGTAATGGATAACTGTGTATGATTGAGGCTAGATGGCCGACAAAGCATCTTCTTTAGCCGAAAGTGAGTTTGTCGTTTTCTGCCGACACTGTTGTAAAGTGGATGGAGTGGAAGACAAAGAGTCATTCCTCTTTTTTCTTTTCCTTTCTTGTCTTTATCCTGACTGATCTTTTCTGAAATGAGACTGGTCAATGAGTCCCAAAAATCTCCCATGTTGGGTTCATTGTCAATAAGGTCTTGGGATTCGCTAGTGAAGACTGCGAATTCATTTTCATCTAGCTCTGGATCTAAATTATCTTCTGGACCTTGGTTGCTAGTGCCTGACTGAATGCTAATATCATCCCTGAAAAGGGATTGCAGGAATTGTTTTTTCATAAAATCCATGCTTTTCACAAATAATTCATGTTCGGATAATTTTGGATATTTTTGCCTTAATTCAGTTTGAATCTGGACAAAAGGATCTTTAATTACTGGAGTAGCGGGGAGTAATTTTGGAACAGACTCCCAACAGGCCTTGGTGTGAGCCTGAATTTTCTGTAATATCTCTTGCTGTTGTTTAGGGGTGTCAAGTCCCTTAGTCCACCATTTGGTAAAGAAAACTCTTTTTAAACGGGGAACCTTGTTCTAGTAATCGCACTGGAAATCCTACATTCAAATCCATGGAATTCCAAAGCGAATAACAAAATGGATTGTAGATTTGGACATTGATATATCCTTATATACTGGAAGATGACTGTAGGGAATTTGCAATTCATTAAATGCCTGTCTAATTGGTTCTGGAAAAACATCTAACTGGATACCAAACTTATCCCACCAAAAGAGAAATCAATTTGAAAGATCGTTTTTAAGAACATCTGGAAGAACACGAAGAAACCAAGAATGGCTTCGTGGGGATTTTGGTAATAAAATGCGTGGGTGAAAGTATCAATATAATCCCAGTAGCTGTAACGAGATTCCTTATTACGAATCTCAAGGGTCCTGGTAACATGAGGATGCATACCCCAAGCTTGCATAGGCATAATTTTCTGGATTGTGGTTTTGCTGTAATTGATTGGACTAGCTGTACTGTTGGGATCATCCAAAGTATGTTTGAACTCAACCGAAGCAGTCTCCATAAGAATCTGTTCAAAGATATATCTGTATTGATCAAAGTGGGGTGGAGAATGTTGAATAGTAAGATACCGTCTTTTGATTTCCCATGGATCTGACATCCATTGTTCATCTTCTGTATTAATATAGATG